ATCCGAAAATAGCCACATAGGATCCTCCGACTCATAATCTATCTTCTTCAGAACTGGTAAGGTTGTAATCAAACGTTTAATGTTTTCAAAAGCCATGTCTTCCGCCGCTCCCCACCGGAATTCTGAGGGCTTCTTCCTAGAACTTGTTAATGGTGCTAACGTCGCTACGTATTGACCCAGACCATCAACAAACTTCTTCAGCCATTGCACCGTGCCTAAGAAGGAATTGAGTCCTTTGGCCGATTTAGGTGCCCTCCAGGAAGTGATTTTTTCAATTTGTTTCGTATCAGCCTGAATTCCATCCTCGCTTATTTCGTGACCCAGAAAAGAAATCTTCCGACGAAAAAGCTTGCTCTTTTTCGAGGAACAATAGAGATTGGCTTCCTTCAGCCGCGTCAGAACTTCCCTCAAATGCCTTTCATGCTCCTCTACAGAATCTGAAAAAATGACTATGTCATCAATATACACCACACAAATCTTGCCAATCAGTTCTCCCAATGCCTCTTCACACCTAGCTTGATGGGTTGCCGGTCCGTTACACAATCCCATCGGCATGACCACCCATTCAAACATTCCCCACGGAGTTTTCACCGCCGTCAACGGTATGTCCTCCTTTCTCATCCGCGTCTGAAAGAAGCTATTGATCTGGTCAACCACTGAAAACACTTTCCCCGTAGCTACCAACCGTACTGCTTCCTCAGGGTTTGGAAGTGGCGACCGGTCTTTAACCGTGACTTTATTGAGTTCCCGATAATCACACACCCAACGGGGGTCCGCCGTAGGGTCCTTCTTTGGTATAATAAGAGATGGAGACCCATACTGGCTAGATGATCTACGTATGCGACCAGCCTTCAAGTGTTGATCAATAAGTCGTCGCCAAGCATCTCTATGCTTCAGAGGGTAGGGATACTGTTTCCCATTGATTATGGCGTGCGGGTCTGTTAACACAATCTTGTGGCACACTGCAGAAGATTGGCTCTGTTCCGTGGGAGGGAAAAAGTCATCCTCCCCTTCCGCTACTGCGGGCAATTCAGCAGGGAATAAATCCTTAAATTCTTCAAACATTGATTCCTCCTTCTCAGACAATTTCCTCGCACTCTCAACTTTTCTCACATTCTCCACCACACAAGCCATCAGTTCTTTCCTCGGCAGAGTCATCATATTTTTGCATTTCAATTCATCAATTCTTCTCATCCTCGCTTCATCTCTATCATAAACAACTTTTCCAGATTTGGTATGAGTGATACATCGTCGGTGGATTGAAATATCAATCTTGTGAAGTTTTAGGAATGGGGTACCGCAGATAACATCGTAATCCCCACTTAGATTTGCAGTTTTAAAGAATGTTGCTCCAAATCGAATATTCGGTTCCTTGGAATCCAAATTAGCAAAAGCAAAATGTGTAAGTTGCTTTACTGCACCTTCGGATTCAAGCGCTAAACCCACAGTTACGGGTTTCACCAGCGGTCGACGAGGTATTCGTGCTTTCTTCAACAGCCGCTCGTCCATTAAGTTGGTTTCGCAAGCTGAATCAAACAGAGCACGAACAGGGATACCATTACATATGAGATCAACTATGATGGAGGGTTCCCTGTCACCAGCAGACGCGCACCTGTCTGTCTTCTCTTCTTCCATACAAGCCACCAAAACTCTATCTGCCTCCGCATAACGCTCAAGTTCCTCTTTCGATAAGTCTGGCAACTCAGTGACCGCCGCTAGTCTTGTTGTCGTGGTGGCGTTAGAAGCTGGACGTCCGGCTGGTCGTTGTGGTGCTGCTCCAGGTCCGGCCGGGCGAAGGTCACTTCGAGGAGGTCGTGGACCGGCGTTGAATTGATCGGGAGGAGGTACACTAATGAAAATATTTGAAGATTCTGTACATGATGGATTGTTACATTTCTTCTTGCAACTCATGCACAATCCCAAGTGTTTCATCCATTGTCGATACCGCCACGCATGCTCTGCACGCTCTTCTGGGCCTCGGACTGATGACCTGACCCCATTAGCAACCTGATTTGAAGTTGATCCAGACGTCTGATAGGTTTGAAAAGGGTTCGTATTTGAAGTTCTTGGACGACCTTCCTTGATTTGGCCTCCATCCACTAATACTCGCCAGGTCGCTTTTGCACGCGAAATGAAAGTAATCATATTGAAAGAATCATCCATGAGAAGCCTATCCTTCCTAACTGTGCTGTCAAAGATCTCAGGCACTCCCCAACAGATATACTGAGCGAGTTCTTTCTGAGTGATGCGTGAAAATCTAGCTATCGTTCGGTGAAGGCCTTGAGCTCGTTCAATGAAAGTGTCGAAACTTTCACCCGGTTTGATTTGCAATTTTCGTAGTTGTCGTTTGGTATCCGCCACCCAGTCTTCAGGTAAACTCCCTAAAGCAAACAAGTCCATGACCTCCGACCAAGTCTTCCCTTCTAATTCAGGCCTCGCCGATTGGAACCAAGCTGAAGCTTGTTGGTCCACCAAAAGAGATCCCAACAATTTCATTCGTTCTCTATCGCTGTTCAAATCTTTGACATCGAAGTATTGTTCCACTAGCCACTGCCAGTGAAACAGTTCAGTCGGTTTACCAAAAGGACCCTTGTACTTAGGTACCTCAGCGAGTCTAATCTTGCTTGCCGTCACAGTCGAGCTTGAATCATCGCTATGGCTATCAGAAGCGTCCGCCGCCTGGTCACGAGCAGCAACAATAGGTGCCGACGGTGGTGCTGGTAATGCCGGAGACGTCGGTGATAAGGGCGGCAAGGCTACCGGCGCTGGTTCAGGAGCAAGCCAGCGAACGGCTGGAGTTGATTGAGCCCAAGGGTAGGTCCAAGGCATCGCAGTTGGTGGCATCGGCAGAGTCTGACCGGATTCTGAGTCGTAAGCTGGAGGAGCCGTAACCCTAGGCATTACAGGTCGTGAGGCAAAATTGATTTTTGGAGGACACTCTCGTTGAGATGGAACCTGAACTTGCTGGACTACAATCGGAGAGGGCGAAGCTGGCCCATTCTCCATGTACTGGGCGAATGGATTGTTTGATTTCGAAGACTGTAAACTATCATCGGCAGCTCGCCCCCGTGTGTCTTCGCGTTCTCGAGCTAGGTCTTGAACCATTGTTTCGAGAGTGTCAAGTCGGTCGCAGCGTCGTTCCAAGGCCTCGTTACGGTCCATCACTTCCTGTAACTGTTGTTTCAGGAATTCGATATGATCGTCGTCTGAGATTTTCGCCATTGACATCTTGCCTTTCCCACCGGATGTTGATGGTTCCGCCATGGCGCCTTTGATCTTCGCTTGTGGTGTGAATACAAAAGCACCCGGCGGTCTTGGGGTAATAATATTGTCAAAGATTTTCTGTGGTGTAGCTTTATTCTGCAGTAATCGGTGGAAAAAAAGTTGAACTATCTCCTTATCACTTGTACGCGTCCAGTCGTCGTATTGGTCGGGTAATTGCTGGACGGGTGTTTTTGACGATTGTCGATCACTGCTGTTCTCAATGGAGATCAGCGGTCGACTGGCGGCTAGTTCGCGATATTCAGAGGCTGGCGTCTCCGGTACTTCCGGTTGCCAATTGTAGCGCGGAGGATTCGGAGCTGGTGGACTGCTAGGTGGTGATTCAAGGCGTGTCCTTCCTCGAGGACGGCGAAGAAAGGCTTCAGGATTGTCGGAGTAGTTGTCTGGGAGATTACGTCGATCGGACATGAACAGAAAACAGAACAGCAGGTGGGATATCGGCAGCAGAGTAACAGCGGGGTATTTGGACTCAGTCGGAGTGGTTATACAGCAGGGAATCGGAGAGTTTTAAAGTTTGAAATATAGGTGAAAAAAGTGTAAGGTTCTATAGAGAGAACCTTCACTGTGATCACAGGGGACTGCTCGAAAGCACAAGTCACCTATAAAATGAATCTATATTCCCAAAAACCTGGCTCCGAGTAGGAGAGTCTCCTCCACATCAGTATCCGCACAACATAAAGCATACACAAGAGAAATCATAAAAAGAACTAAAAGATATCTTACCTGGCTCCGAGTAGGAGAGTCTCCTAAGGGGAAGAGCCTCTCAGGAGCCAGGGCAAAGAAGACAACTACAATAATATCTAAACCCATAATCATCTGTACGTGCGTAGCCTGTAAGGCCATACCCTTACACACACGAGTCGAACACAAGATTGCCAGCATCATCGGAGCAGCCATCACACCATCTGACCATTAACCCACCAAGGAATAAGAGATTGGAGGTTAAACAGGTTTTTAGACACGGTGTATCAGTCAATCTGCCAAGTAAGCTTTACACCTTTCACAGGTGGCGCACGGTTCACCTCTTGATTTTTAAAACTTCTTGATTTCAAGGGTTTTGAAATCTACTGTACCATAAATGTTTGTCTGTGTCAAGGGCAATACACCAGGGAGAAAATTTGGTCACATTGCAATATGTGAGAGATGTCTTGGTCAGAGTCACGGAGTGCATACACATCCGCCGTGACTGAGGCGTGACCAACTTCGCATGTGCATACTGTGATACTGATCAACATGTTCCTCACATTTTGATATGTGACCAATTTTCCCCCAGTAATAGGTATGCGCTTCAACATACTATTATGATATACAAATCTGTCTTCTGTCAATTTTCAGACAAATTGACAGAACATTTCTCAGAACCCCAGAAACTTGGATTTTAGCAGGTCAGGCAGATATCCAAAATGTCAGAGCCCCAGATCCCACTAAGACTCAGGTCCATAATGTGAGTTTTTGTGGGATGTGCAATGATCCGGAGAGTCAGAGCCCCAAATCCTGACAAGACTTGGGTTTTTGGCATTCTGAGAAATGTTTTAACAATTTCTCTAGAGATTGACAGAAGACATATTTGTGTGGCATGTATTTAGAACCAGGATAGCATCTTTACATGTATTAAGGTCCTGAATTTTCAACTTGCACTGACTGCGGATGAACATGTTTCCCCCAGATGTGGAACACATTGAGAGATATGTAGACCAGCGCATGGGAGCCAGTGCCGGGACGGGATGGCCGAGTGGTTAAGGCGGCAGTTTAGAACCTTGATAAGATTTAGCTGCTTCACTTTGTGAGCGTGAGTTCAAATCTCACTTCCGTCGGGTCTTTCTTTTTTTTGCATCTTGGATCAAGACAGACAAGGTGGCATCAGCGTTCATCCCCCATGCTTCGGTCATGGTGGTCTGAATATGGGTCGCGTGGTAGCATTCCGTTGTGAGAATCTCGATAAAAAAGAACGGCGGCTTAATCAAAGGAAGGAGTTCATCGACTGTGGTCATGCATACTATATTTTAGCCCGACCGCAATGGGAGAAACATTCAACGTATAAGACTAGGTAGGAAGATCGGGTATTGATGATGCATGTGGTCATGTGGTTGAGACAGGCAAGTTGAATGAAAATAGAAAGTTCATCTGCGGAATTTTGGGTATCTATGGACAAAATCAATAGAAGATCTTGGAGCTGGTACAATTTATCTCGAGGTTGTCTCTGTAACTTTATTTATGATCTCATTTGATTTATGGTAAAGATTTTGGGCTTGCCCTGTAGGTTGTTCATATTTAATTCTTGCTTGCGTTCCAATGAATGATCATTCACACTTACCGGGATGGTTAATTGAGGAATGAGTGTGTAATTGGAATTTTTGTGTCGAACCCAGAGATGCAGCTTTCGCTAATTCAACATACCATCATCATCTCCTGGGTAGCAATCAATGAGATGTCACGCTTTCCTTATCACTCTTGACTCTCAGTCATCTGTGATGTTCTACTTCAACCATATTGATTCATACGCTCTGGCCTACATAGAGGACGAAAAGTTCAAGATCTAGATTGATTTAATTTACAATCAATCTTGCTTCTTACAACGGGTATCTAGTGAAGAGTACGGATCCTAATTTTGTCATAAGCCCATACGCGAATACCACAAAAACCAACTCAGAAAAACACTCCCCGTGTGCTTTGAAATTCTATCAACTTACTTCTTGTATCTAAGAAGCGATCAAATATATTTTCATTGACGCGAGAAAAACGATGACAAGAAATGCTCAGACCAAATCTTTCGCAAGGTTTTTTTATCCTCCATGCACATTATTCTCTTCTATATGAAGCCCCAAATGACCACCCACACCTCAAATAGTTCTAGCTCGTATCTATAATTTATGTCTCGATATAACTTATCAAACAGGAAGAGAAACAAACTTTGCCAATCTCAAGAAACACTAAAAATGATAACTACCTTTTCCACCCATAACTTACATCTGGAATTGTGATCACTCTCTCGAAACATCCCTACATATACCCCAAACCAAAAGACCTTATCAGCTCAAAACCCTTTAAAAAGCAAATACGAAAGGTTCTCCATACCTTCCAAACAATTTAACTTTCATCCAATCTGTACAAACCAAGAACCTATTCCTAAACGAAAAGACCATTGAAACATAAGCCGATCTCCAAAAGAAGAAAGTAGCCACCCCGCCCGTCGCAATGTTTCCATTAAAGAAAGGTAAATCTGCAATAGCTTTCTCTGATCCGATATAAGCTAATGATCCTTGATGTGAATATTTAAATTCTCGCAATTTGTTTCTTGAAAGTGTCTTAGTAATTGACCTTTAGAAGGAAAGACCAAGTTACCAAATGCAAAAGTGATAAGCAAAAGTAAGCAATAGAGGGATAGTACGAAGAGAAAGGAATTATGCCGTACTCTATTTCTTGAACATTAGACGTTTGCTTAGCTTCTGCAAGGTGCTGTTCAAGTTTCTCAACCTTGGCTAATTGATTAAACCGTTTGGCAAGGTATTGCCCTTGTTGAGAAGCAGCTTGAGCTGTAGGAGCATAAGCTGTTGCAGTACAATCGCCCAAAGCGTATATTCCATCTGCACCAAGCAATCTAAGATGATCGTCTACCAACAAACCACGTTTCTGGGTCTGATGTTCAGGTAATGAAGCCATCAACTTTCTGGTGATATCCCTAGATGTATTTCCAGTAGCCCAAACCAATAATCCATAAGGAATCTAATTTTTTTCCAAACCAATGTCAACAAAAAACCCTTTCGAGATATCGGGAGAAAAGACTGACTTCTATTAACTCTTTTCTTTCATTTTGAGCCATGATTGTCTTAGGTCCTACTTCTTTCACCATGGTTTTTGTCAAAACTTGAATCCGATTAGACATGAAAGTTTCAGTGGTATAATCAATCAATTGTTTTGAAAACATTGGAAGCACGTTTGGTAAAGCTTCAATCAAAGTGATTTTCACTTTTCCTGCTATTTCTGGGTACCATGTTGAGAGGTCGTCTACCAAAAAGTCGTGTAATTCTGCTGCATATTCTGTTGAATGTACCAGAAAAAAACAATACAAGGGTCAGGGAATGATTGATTCATTTTGGATTTCATAGAAGATATCTTTTTTCAGCTTACCTACACCAGTTGGACCACCACCAACGACAACCATATGTAACAACCTATCAACTTCATGATCAGCTTGATCTTTGAAACTAGCAGTCTCCACGCAATCCATCAATTTCCTTCTAATCTTCTCAGCATCTTCCAACTCTTTCAAGAAACAACCATGTTCCTTGACCCCCGGAATCCCAAACGTATTATTCTCAGCTCCAACACCATATACCAAATAGTCGTATTTGATCACAGTCGAGGTGACTTCTCCTTTGATTTCAGATTCATCGCAGAATGAAACTGTTTTGGATTTCGGATCTACTGAGGTTGCTGTAGCCTCATATACATTCACTTCTCGTTTTTTGTGCCGGGTTATAAATCTTGTTGGCTCAATGACTGAGCGGGATTCGATTGTTCCAACCGTTACAGAAGGTAATAAAGGTGTAAAGCAGAAAAAATTACGCGGACTAATGACGATCTAAAAAGATTCTCAAACCTAGTCAAATTTTCTAAACTATCTTATCGTAGCATATAAAAACACACTGTGAAAAACTGACCACATTGTAATCTTCAGTATCAAGTCCTTTTAAGAAACTAGTAGCACCCCATCCATTACCTAAAACCACAATCGTTTTCTTATTAGAATCTTGAGGTAATTGTTGATTAGGATGACGATCTGTCCAAGCTTTATAGACCACATAACCCGAAGCAGAAATGACTAGAAAAAGAACCGATCGAGCAAAAGTACGAAGTTTATGAGACTGTTTTTTGATATTTGGTGGTGGTAATACCGGTGAGATTGGTGTTGTTGTATTGATGATAACGGACGAATCAGGTTTAGTTGAGTATGGTGATATGAATTGAGATTTATTGATTTGTTTAAACTTGGAAGCTGATAAAATCATAGGTTGATAAGTTCTCGACCAAAGTTGAGCTATAAAGTCACATAACCAGTCAATGAATCATGCAGATTGAAGTTGTCATTTTAGTATCTTTAGAGTTGAAGTGAGATGACTTTACATTTTGAGACTGATCGTACGCTACTCAATCGATGTATCATCATTGACATCTTGTTAAACCTTGTTATCCTAATTCTTTGTAACCTTGCTGAGCTGTTTTCTTAAAGCCTTGGATAAACTGGAACTTGGAGTTTTTGAAAATGAAGTGTTGGCGCGACTCGGATCGGGTAATGGCATTCCTGTTTGATCCGAACTCCACCGATCATCTCACAAGTACAGTCAAACCCGCGCTGGGACTTCTGCTGTCATCCGCTTTAAAATATCATCGAATCACCCCCCTTAGAGCATCAGCAGCGGTCCTCGCAAAATGCGAGCTCCGAAACAGACCCCCAAAAGCAATTCCCAAATTTAGGGGGTCTGAAAATGGGTGTGTGTGCAGCGGAGCACCTACATGTACGGAAATCCCTCGATTGAGGGATTTTTGTATGCTTGTACTCAATCCCATATCCACTTATCAAAACACATATCCACTTGACTTCAACTCCAAACTGCCAATCGACCTACCATCAAACTTCACTCAGACAAACCACTTCACTCAGACAAATCATGAATCCCGAACAGCTTGCAGCATTCCTCAACGACCTATCTGAAGATGATCATGAAGAAGAGGCTGCTGCTGCACAAGCAGCAGCCTGGTACTACGAAGCAAATCTGGACGAAGCAAATCCGAAGAAGCCTCGTCAAGAAATCACTCGACATCGTCAACTTGCTCATGATATCATATTCAATCAATATTTTGCATTGAATCACTCTTACACTGAAGATCAATTCCGAAGACGTTATCGTGTGGATCGAGTGATAGTCGAACGCCTCATCAAAGATCTTCCACTTCACAATACTTACTGGGTCCAGAAACACGATGCGGCGAAGCGACTTGGACTTTCACCTCATCAGAAGATCACCGCCGCGATGCGCCAGATGGGCACTGGAACCTCGGCTGATGGACAAGACGAATATATTCAAATCGGCGAATCCACCGCACTTCAATGCCTCAAAACCTTTTGTGAAGATGTGGTTTGCTTGTATCAGGATGAATATCTCCGTAAACCCACGGTCGAGGATACTCAAAGGTTGCTTGAAGAGGCTCGTCGACGGGGTTTACCTGGAATGCTAGGTTCGATCGATTGCACTCATTGGGAGTGGAAGAATTGTCCGACTGCCTGGCACGGTATGTTTCGAGGAAAAGAAAAGGTGCCTACTCTAGTATTGGAGGTTGTAGCCTCATACGACACTTGGATTTGGCACGCTTTTTTCGGCCTTCCGGGGACTCTCAACGACATCAGTGTACTCGACCGATCGCCACTTTTCCGAGATCTCATGGAAGGAAAAGCTCCCGAGGTTGAATTTACCGTCAATGGCCATGTATACAAGCAGGCTTACTATCTGGCAGATGGAATATATCCAGATTGGGAAACATTAATCAAGAGTGTCACCAATGGTAATCAAAAAGAACGGGTACGAGTCGCTTTTTACTCGCCGCATTTTTTTTTTCTAACTAACTTCCTTGTGTTATGTAGCTTTTCTCAAAGCTTCAGGAATCCATTCGAAAAGATGTCGAACGAACTTTTGCAATTCTGTTTGCTCGATTTGGCATTCTTAATTGCCCTGCAAGACTTTGGAAGGAAGCTGATTTACAAACAATAGTATACTGCGCTGTAATCCTGCACAACATGCAAATCGAACAGAATCGA